TTCTTCAAGTATGAAATGCCCATCACTTTCCTCCTGTATGCTTGTAGAAGAGGTTGGATGTTGGGACAAGAAGCCTCCTATGGCTTCTAGCAGTCCAACATCTACCTCAATAGAAATGGGCAGCCTCCCTTCTCTGATCATTCTATCCTTTCCCTTGTGTGGCAGCTTGTAATTGTTCCCCCCTTCCACCTTCATAACTTCTACCATGACATATTGATAGCTTAACCAAACCTTGTTCAAAGTGATGGGTGAAAGCTCATAGAAAGCTTCATTAACTGCATGTAATAGTTCATCAACATTTCTGAGTGCTTTTTGATCTTTCAATGACTGTATTGCCCTGAAGAATCCTAGATCTAGTATGTTAAGATCTGGGGAATTGGAGGGTTGTTGAGTCAGGCTTATATTGAAACCATTTTCTTGGGATGCTGCCATGTAGTCTGCATCTGACCCTAAAATGTGTGGCCTTGCATTATCCTGTTGGATAACAATATCCTTGCTTAAGTAGTCTGGCCACTTTGCCTTAATTGCTGGTAACACAGTGTTGATTAACATGTCTTTGAACACTTCCTTTGTGATGCTACCTATAGGTTTTGTTTCCATCACCCCTGCATCTCTATTTTTGCTTCTCCTTTTGGCTGCTACCTTTTGAATGAAGGGAAATATGCCTACCTTACCATCCCAAAGTACTTCACCAGTGTCTGAAAATAGAGGTCTGCCTACTACTCCTAGGGACATGACCTTAGTTATGAACCTCTTTAACTTGCACACCCTATGAGGGTCCTCCTCATCCAAAGCCATGTAGTACCTCTGAGAAGTTTTTGACATGAAAAACCATTTTTCATCAATGTGTATCACATTTTGAAAATTCTGGAATGTTGGCTTACCTGGATTTGACTTGTCAACTTGGTTGTAACAGAACTGTACTCTGGAAACTTTGTTTTCATCTGTTAAGAAAGGCTTAATAGCATTTGTGTGACTTCTAAGCATACCTTTTTTCAAACATTTGTGCAAAGTTGTCTTTGAAATGCCTGTGGCAGCAGCTAGTGCCCTCATATTGGTCCTTTTATACAGTGGAATTGTAGAGATGGAGCTTATATCCACTTCAATTCTTTCCCTTCCTGAATTACCAGCCCACCTACTGCTTACATCCACCGGGTGCCCTTTCTGAAGTTGTTTTTTGGCAGTCGCCCATATGCTTGAAATGGATCTTCTGGAAACTTTAAATTCAGTTCCCAATTTACTGAACACACCTTTCTGAGCTACCAACGCCCCAAAACAATCTGTTTTTGCACTGAGTAGGATTTGATTCATGATAGTGTCCCTTTCCACATTTGACAGTCTCCTACTTTTGTTGTTGCTGACTGCTTCTTCTGACTCACCCTCATTTGTTATTGTGTTCAGGTTGGTTGGTGAAGAAGATGAAAGAGGAGCATTAATGGAAGGTGAAGGGGAATCAACATTTAGGGCAGCTGCCATTTATGGAAGAAGAAATGCTCACATTTATTGTGTGCGTGTGTGTGAAGTGTTGAGTGTTGTAATGAGAGGTTGGGAAAACAATGGGGAAATGGGAGTATTTGTAGATGAAAACATTTGAAAGTCCCTCCAAAAATAGGAGGGAAGTTGTAACCGAAAATTTTACTTGGAGTGTACTATTCACCTTTTTGATCATATCTATCACATCCCACTTTATTTAATCATTCTTCATAGGAGTAACTTTTTTTTACCCCTCCCCTTTTCGGCCAACCCTCAAAGGGTTTAATTGGAAAGTCAAAGGCTTTTTAGCCTTGCATTAAAAAGCTATCCGGGTCACATCGGGAAGAATTTTTGGGAACTGATGGATGGAGTACAAAAATAGGGGTGTATAGCTATCTCCGCATGTATGATATAATTTGCGCACATTCTCCCTTTTTTAATTGGTTAACACTGGGTCAATCGCCCACAAACTTTGCCACTCCCTGACGATCTCGAAGTCGGGAGTCAGCTGCAGAGAATCGTCAAACCGATCTGCTGAGGGGAAATACACAATGGCTCCTCCAGAGGATCAAGCGCAGCAAGTCAACGATGAGTCAACCATCCTAACTTCTTCTCCGGTCGATAACCGCCCAATATCCACCATCGTCATCGTCATCGGTCGGTATTCTCTGTCTTATCCCCGCCCCCTCCGTATACATAAGCGTGTGCATTTTGACGCTTGGCTGGTGTTTGTTTAACGGAACGACTGATTACCGGTGATTGTGGTCCTCCTGCAGCTATGCAAACGGAGGCGACACCACTCGTCAACAAGTTCCAACTCGCCGAGGATGTTGATTCGCCGTCAGTCTTCATCCTCTTCATCTTTCTAGTTCCTCCCCTCTACTTTATTTACCCTGTCAATTCCGTGATGATAAATTAATCACTAATGCTGAAATGGGTTTCTCCTAGTTATAGCATTCGGAGTACTACAGAACGTTTCTCCTTAGTCCTTCCCATTTTCTTTAATCTGATCAACAAAAATGATAAATTGATAGTGATATACTGATATCCCTGTTGTTTGCCCTAATCTAGTTTCTTATTTGAACTAAACAGATTTCCAAAGGGAGTACCTTGGGTGAGGTATTATGGTAACTATAAGGATCTTATAATTAACATTGTATGTCCCGGAAAAGACTCAGTGTTGGGTAAGTAGTTGATTCAAATTATGTTGCACTTCACTTGGAGCTGCCATGACTGTTTAATTATATGTGATAAATCTCTTTGTTAGGGGTTGACAGTGTAGGGACGGTTTCTGCATCTCTTTTAACATATGCCTCTATCCAAGCATTAAAACCTGACCTCATCATAAATGCAGGCACTGCGGGTGGGTTTAAGGTACATGTTCTGGAATGGCAATGAACCTCTAATGAAGTTGCTTTTTATCTTTGAGTTTCGTGGCTCTGTAATGCACAACTGCACATGTCTAGAATATGTTCTTTTTAGTACAGATTTTGTGTTGATTTTTAGTCATTTACAGGCAAAGGGTGCTTCCATCGGAGATGTTTATGTTGCATCACATGCGGCTTTCCATGACAGAAGAATACCTATCCCAGTAAGTGTCCCTCTCCATTGGATTTTGGCATTTTGATATTACTCCGTAAAATATACTAACATTGAGAACATTGAAGATCTGTTTAGGGGCCTGAGAGAGCCTCTTAGGTTTGAAACAAGTGTACTCCCTCCCTCCTCATCTTTCTTTTTTTACACATCCCACTAATTTTATCACATACAACATTTGAGAATATTTTTGTGGTTCAAGTTCAATAATGCTTTACGTTTTCTATATCAACCACATAGTTTCATTTTTCCTTATATGGTGCTCACTTTTCATGTCCACGATAATGAGACAGAGGTAGTATTAATGTATTATTTATAGACGCACACTGACTCACTGGCACACATAAACTCTTTTTCTTAAATTCATATATGCCGGAATCCCTTAGTTTTGGAATGTTTAGTCACCTTGTAGCTCAAAGTTCTCTTAGCCCAAAGACCCAAATTCTATTGAAGAGCCGAATACTAACTTTGGGAGTCCTGTATGCTTTAATTAGTTATCGTCTCATATGGAAGTCCCCTGTTGTTATGCTTTTATAGACTGACTACATAGTGCTGAGAATATGCTTTTGTTATTCTATTGGCAAAAGCCTTCATTCTCTTTTTCCATATGTTAACCACACAGATAACTGCTTAGTCTGCTCAATGTCTAAACAATTTTCCATTATAACTTACCAGCAATATCTTATAAAAAACTAATTTGTGTGATCTCATTGCTTCTAGGTATTTGATTTATATGGAGTTGGCTTGCGGGAAGCTTTTCCCACTCCTAACCTCTTGAAGGAACTTAATTTGAAGGTGGGTTTACTGTAACCAGTATCTTTTCAATCTCTATACTAATTGTGAAAAATATTTTTCTTTTTCTGTTTCAATAATGCTTCTGTGCATGTAACAGGTTGGGAAACTGTCTACTGGTGATTCTTTAGATATATCACCTATTGATGAAACCTCTATAACTGCTAATGATGCAACTATCAAAGACATGGAGGTAGGCGTAGGCCTTTTGTTGTGCCACATTTCGTTTTCATATAAACTTATCACATTCTTTAACATAATATGGAGCACTGTTTTACTGCACACTACATTCAAATTTGGACGGATTTATTTATTATAAAGCATTAATATTTTATTTTTTATATTGTTGAGGACAAAATTTCAGAGATTTATTTTTTAGATGAATATATCGATTTTGTATGCTCTTGATTGATTGAAGGGAGCAGCAGTGGCGTATGTGTCCGATCTTTTGAAGGTGCCTGCAATTCTGTTGAAAGCTGTGACTGATATAGTGGATGGTGATAAACCTACGGCTGAGGAGTTTTTGCAAAATTTGGCGGCAGTAGCTGCTGCACTTGATGAAGCTGCCACCCAAGTTGTTGATTTCATTAGTGGCAAGTCGTTCTGTGAGCTTTGATTTGGTCCTATGTTTTGAGTTAATCATCTGGTTTATGAGTAAACCATGGAATTCCACTTATTGTTACTCAACTTATTCCTAATCACATTTCTTTACACAATAACTGTATGTAGATTACTACATGGCGTATTATGTATTCCTATGACATTGGAGGTTTACTATTCGCAATTGTTTGTATTTTTGGTTGCATTTTCCTTTTTTGGTAGTGAATGAATGAATCCTTTGTTTTTTAAAGATTGTAATAAATAAATCAATCAACTTCAAAAAAATATTGTTTGAACTGCAAGGTTGCCAACACCAAACTTCTCTTATGTGTTGATTGTTCATGAGCTTCTTACTCCTCAACTAATCAATTTGGAATTCATATAATAACAATATTTTATTTATTACTAATCCAGCTACAAATCATGTGATGATTAAAACAATAATACTTCCAAGTTCTGTCCATCTTACATTTATTTTATTTATTGTATGATGATGAGTATAAATAGCAGAGATTTGGGTCTTCTAACCCAAAAGCAAACTTTGAAAGGCATATTTATCAAACTTGTTTGTGAAGAGATAAAGAGTGAGCATGGGATTCGAAGAAGCAATTATGCAGGGACTTAAGAAGGCAGGTAGCCCTGGAAAAGCTGCAATTATGGCTATCGGAAAGGCCTTCCCCCACCAACTTGTGATGCAAGAACTTCTGGTTGATGGGTATTTCAAGAACACCAACTGTGATGATCCAGAACTGAAGCAGAAGCTCACTCGACTGTGTAAGTTAACAGTGGTGTTTCTACTTGGATTCAATTACTTGGATTCCATTAAAGGAATTTTATTAGGAAAAGTAAAATTAATTGGTAATGTCCATTCCAGCCCAATAAAGAAACTTAGTGCACGTAGGGGTGGACTCGGGTCCGGGTCGGGCCTAGGCCCGGGCGGGCCGGCGGTTCAGGAATGGTGGACCCGGGACCGGCCCGGGTAGCCACCGGGTCCGGGCCGGGCCGGGCCGGGCCTCCGGTTTGGGATTTTTTTTTGCTTTCCTACCCCTCCCCTCACCCCCCACCCTCCCAAACCCCCCCAAACCTATCCTAACCATCAAGCCCAAGCCAGGTGGAACCCCAAAAATGAAAAAAAAATCAATTTGGCCTGGGCCCGAGCCCGACCCGGTCGGGCCGGTTCGCCAAATGTGAGACCCGAGCCTGGACCCGCCTACCCCCCAGGCCTAGGCCCGACCCGGAACCGGACCCGAGAACCAGGCCGGTCCCGGTCCCGCACAGTAGCGGGGCGGTCTGGTCCACGAGCCGGGTGGCCTGACCCGAGTCCAACACTAAGTGCACGTATGTGTAGTAGTGCTATTAGGCTCTTAGTTCACGTATAGGTAATGGTTATTTGGTTCAATTGATTGAATCTACTCAATTATGTGAAATAATAAGGGTTTGCTAATGCTACTTATTTTGCTTAATAAGATGATGATCAATGCTACCCATTGACGTCTTTTCTTCTTATTCTGGTGATATGCCAAATTTGTTACCAAACGGAGTCTAATTATAACTTAAGTTGGCTTCGTTCGTTAAATATGTAGGCAAGACGACGACAGTGAAAACTAGATATGTGGTCATGTCAGAAGAGATCCTAACGAAGTATCCCGAGCTTGCCATCGAAGGCCTGCCAACAGTGAAGCAGCGTTTAGACATCTGCAACTCAGCAGTCACCCAAATGGCACTAGAAGCCTCACGGATTTGTATCCAGAAATGGGGTAGGCCGACGTCAGAGATTACCCACCTGGTATATGTTTCTTCAAGTGAAGCCCGGCTGCCTGGTGGCGACCTTTACCTGGCAAAAGGCCTCGGGTTGAGCCCGGACACCCAACGGGTAATGCTCTACTTCTGCGGATGCTCTGGTGGGGTCGCTGGCCTTCGAGTCGCTAAGGACATTGCAGAGAACAATCCGGGCAGCAGAGTCCTACTTGCCACATCAGAAACAACAATAATAGGGTTCAAACCCCCAAGTGCTGACCGCCCTTATGACCTGGTTGGTGTGGCTCTGTTTGGTGACGGAGCAGGGGCCATGGTGATAGGTTCAGACCCGATTCGAGAAACTGAAAGGCCTCTCTTTGAGCTTCACACGGCTATACAACATTTTGTGCCCAACACAGAGAAGATCATTGATGGGCGGCTTACTGAAGAAGGTATAAGCTTTAAGCTGGAAAGAGAGCTTCCCCAGATAATAGAAGATAACATTGAGGAATTCTGTGAGAAGTTGATGAGGGTTGCGAAGTTCACTCAGGATGACTATAACAAGCTGTTTTGGGCAGTCCATCCTGGTGGACCCGCAATTCTAAACAGGCTCGAGAAGAAGTTTGAACTTCTGCCAGAGAAGCTAAGTGCTAGCAGGCGAGCCTTGGCTGATTATGGAAATGCTAGCAGCAATACTATTGTGTATGTTCTAGAGTACATGTTAGAGGAAAAAAACAAGAAAACTCTGAAAACAGAACCAGTAGGAGAAAAAGAAGATTGTGATTGGGGGTTGATTTTGGCTTTTGGTCCAGGAATCACTTTAGAGGGCATCCTTACTAGGAAACTCACTTCTTGAAAGCAGAAAGTTAAGATAGAGAGACTTCAATACTTCAGTTTATTTACCTACCAACCTGTATTCATGTTTCTTTTGTAACTGCTCATTGCAGAATGTTGAAGAGATTATATCATATGAACAATAACACAATTACTTGTATACAAAAAGAATAATAGCTTTTCTTGTAATGGCTACAGAGGATGTAAACTACATAAAAAATGGGGAAAAATAAAATGAGGGCTGGAAAAACATCCATTTAAAAGGACTAAGCCGCTAAAGTGTGTTGATCATCCTGTTATCTTACACTGCTCCAGAAGGGAGGCGCAGCACGAGCTGTCCTCCAAAAACACTGCAACACACAGAGCAGAATTGGCAAATCGTTATTGTAGTAAACAAAAAGAGCAGCTTGCCATCCATTCCAAAGAACAAGTAGGCTCTGTTTGGTAGTCATAATCGACATTCTTCTTATTTGTAAAATAAGCAGTATAAGTAGCTTTTAACTTGCTTATTTGATTGAAATGGATGTTAGCAGATGTTTACCTTTCCGAAAATTCAGCAGTCATTCTAGCAGCCAAATAACAGATACCAAACAGGCCAGTAAACATTAATAAACTAATCTTATTTACCTCTTTACATAGTAGTAACAAAAATCCGCTAAGATGAAGGTTTGAACAATTTCGGATATAAGGACCATAGAAGGCCATAGACCGTGACCAAGAGCTACAAGGAGATGTCCGCGACTATCCAAAACCTGTGAACACATAGTGACCCAAAAACGCTTCATGTGTCTGTCACATAGCTGATAGCCCACACACAATCTAAAGCACTAGAGAAGCCAAACCTGTAGAACCCAGTGAGCACAGCTTAAGAACCTTGCAACACCCAATGCAAATACATAGTGAGCTGTAAATGGCTCAACAATCTGTAAATAAAATAGTAGCAATAAAGATCATTAAGCCATGCAATCGTTTAGGTGTTAATGGAGAACCAAGATGGCATTTTAAAGGGAAATTGTCTTAGATAGGAGGAGCAATATGTTGTCCATTTCGTTAAATAGGAGTAGTTCCACATTATTCCCGTTTTAGGGGGTATAAGACTCCTAAAATAGGAAGTTGAATTTTTTGGATATATTTTTAGATATAGCTCAACAGTTATTCCATTATTTAATCAGTACATTGATTATACTTTGACTCAAAATTACTCTACAGAGTACACATAATGAGCGCACAATTACTCTACCTAGATCATACACCTGAACTGTAAAACCTCCAAAGTTAGAGCAATCAGAAAAACATGGAGGTTGTTGCAAAGGTGATATGGTCATTTCACAATTTTTAGACCTAAAAAGGATTAAGAAAATTTTTGGAATACCAAAACATATTACTCCTATATAATTCAATTTCTTTTTAATGATACCTTAGTGTTTTGCATCACATGGAGTTGAGGTAAAACAGAAACAGCTTCCAAGAACACACAAAAAGCCCAGAAGATTCTGTTGACAATGTGATGTGATGTGGTTGGGTGAATTAGTAATGCTAAAACTGCACAAGGGACGACCTGCAAAAATAAGGATCATGTAAGGACACTACTCCCATCATCTTCTTTTCTTTGTATAATAAGTAATTAGTATGGTTTGGTTCAATAACAAGCTATTAAGGACTCACCACAAAATATAATGGAAAACTGTCTTTGTTCTCCATGTCGATTGATCTTAGATTAAAACGTATCATGTAAATGACCCACAATGTTGTAGCCAATGTAGCCAAATCAAGAACTGTGTGTATATCATATTCCATCACAAAACTGCAATAAAGTCTAACAGCCAAAAACATGGCTGTGAGCTCCTGGGATTTGAGAGAAAGCCCTGCAATGATACCAAACAAATGTTAGCATCATAGGCTTTGGGGGTTAAACAAAGCATAAAGAGGGGATTAGGCAGGAAAAAGAAGACTGGCACTACATTTGTGGCAAAAAGATTCTCAGTCAAACAGAAGATGCAAGTTTTCTCCCATATTTCCATGCATAGGATGCGTTAGGAATATGAAAAAGCTAGGGGAAGAAATAAAGGAAAATTTTGGAAGGAAATTAAAATTGGGGAAAGGAGAACATAGGTTCAAACTCAATTGATCAGGCTAGGAACAGATAATCGATCAATTAAATACAATATGCTTCAAAAGCATCTTTTCTATTCCTAGCGCTATTTAAGAGAAAAGAGTCTCAAAAATATAAAATCACCATCGCAGGTTTTTTCTTTCATGAGCTTGTAGATGAGAACGGATATCCCAAGGGAGTGAACAGCCTCAGCAGCGACGAAAAGATTGTCGTGATCTTTGATAATGGCGCGAAGCATTACCAGCGTAGCCATGCCGGTTATCACGGCCAGGAAAGCTTTCACCTTGGGCGGTTGCCGGCGGAGCCATGTTACCACGGCGTAGATCGGCCTCCGAGAACCCTTCATGGTGCTACAATTAATGAAACGGTGATGCAATTCCTAAACGAAGGACCGATAATAACGGTTCATTCAACTCAGACGTAGTACTACGTAAATAAAATACTCCGTATCAGTGAATTGAGAAATCTGGCTCCACCGGAGTTGGATGCTACCAGAATACCTCCGTCAGAGCGTGTCTGTTACGAAGCCATCTCGAACTCTGGTCCTGGGAAAAATAAAACTTTCTGCTGCGCGATCAGAATACCCCCAAACGTGGGAATGAGGTTTGATTCTATTTTTTATTTGCATCACGTCATAAAGGTCTATTCTGTTTTTTAAGAAGAAAAACTAGTCTAAAATCCGCGGCATGCCCTTAGTAGTAGTGTTAATTTGATATAGTCAGATCACAAATACAAATATGATCAAAACTTTGACAATTTCTTTTATAAATCAAGGAATCTAAAAATTTTCACTTTTTCGAATTGATGCGTTAGGTATGACTCAATCAGAATTGATTCCAAACTCTTCAAATTTGCAATCTGAGGCAATGAAATGGTCATTTTTGAAATCGAAAAATCCCTACTACACAAAATTAATGTTAACCTTAGCCTCACCTCGGAAATCATCAGCTTCATACTATCAGGAATTGATCGTCTTAATTCTAGGCAACAAAAGAAAGTTGGTTCTATCACGGTTTCAACGGAATTCTACAAGTCAGGGCGCTACTTGAAAATGGATAAAGAAAAAGGGAATTTTATTCTTATTCCAACGGGACCACATAAATCCGAGTTGCTTGCATTTCTAGCGATATTTTCAAATTTTGTGAGACTAACTACTTTAGTGCAGGAGGAACCGATACATTTGAAGCATGAGACTTCGGAAGACACCGAGGAAACCATCTCCAAGCTCATTTTCAATTTTGAAGTTAAGAGAGCATATGCGGGTACACAACAACCAGACTCCTCTGAAATGCACAATGAGGACCCTTCACAATCTATGGAAGCAGATTTGTCGAACGATGAATTCGACACTCCTTCAAGAAATATTCCATCAGGACAAGAACTATTGGATCACTTGGTTGAGATCAAAATTGCTTCCATTCCAAAGAGGAGGAGCACTCGTCGTCGATCCAAGGCGGCATATGTTCCACATTATTTGTTGGGTTCCCTAGCGTATTATATTTTCATTTCGGCGCCTTTTCTTTTCTTGTTTTGTTCCTTTTCCTTCTCTTTTTCCGTTTTATTTTCATCTTTTCCTTGCATTGTACTTTTTTCTATTATCAACAAAATTACGTCTTTCCGAAAAAAACTAATCACCACTATGGAATACGGACGAAAAATCAACATCTATTGGAGTACTAATTTGTGTTCATATTTTGGTTTATGTGCTTATTGTTGTAATAGTTATTAATTATTAATAGGGCTAATTATATGATGAGGGATGATATATAAGAAGAAGTGTTGAATTGGAATTTAGAATATGTGGAGTTTATAATTTACATTATTTTGAATATTCACGTGTATCATTGATATTGTACGATTAGATTCTCATCCAAGAGAATTAAAGTTTCATTATTTAAAATATTTTGGTTTTGAATTAAAGCCTTAGTGAAATGTGTCAGATTAATTTTATATTATTAGAGCCATACCAGATGTATTAGTCTCGTTATTCAAAGAATTTGATGTTGTACAATTATTTTGGAAACTGAATTAATATGGTATTTATCCCGAGAACCAAACTCCACTAGTATGGGTGATATTAAGAAGGTGTTCAATACGTCTAATATGAATATTTATGATCTGATGAATTTTAAGATTTGGTCTAATCTAAATTTAATTTTTTCTGATCTGGTCTGATCTTGTATGATCCCGCGATGTGAAATTTTCTGATATGAGAATTTCTAATTTTAATCCGATCTGAATAACTGTAATCTGATCTAGATAATTTTTATATGATTGAGTATTATTAGTATTATTAAGTTTTTTTGAAGGGGTACTATCAAGTAATTATTATGGGTTATTATTGTCATTTTTATCATCATATTTATAATTATAATTATCATTATAACTATAACTATAACTATAATTTTAACTATTGATAATAGTCATTTATAAATACCGGTAATGATATAGTCACTTATAAATATAGATAACAATAAATATACATTAATAATACTATAGTTAAATAATAAAAGAAAAAAGAATCAAATAAGCCTTTCAGGCAACAATTTCATCTTAATAATTTGCCATAATAAATACAAAATCTCCCAATAAATAGATATCCTACTACTCTGTATTTAATATTGAAACTATATATATCTATCAATAGAGAATAGAGAATCCATCACATAAGCCCATTTACTAATAAAAGCATCATTTAAGTACATCTACGTTTTCCATCAACGTTTTTGCAAAACGTTCTAACTGGTATATTAACCGGAAAGCAAGCAAGGTAATCGGGTAAAGCCAGTTTTGACTTTTTTTTCTTTAATTTCTCTTTTCTTTTCCATTTCTTTTCGTTTTCCGTTTCTTCCTTCTTTCTCCAATTCTGCTCATTGTCATCCCGTCCCACTGTCTCAGCCTCCTTCTAGCTGCAACTGTAATTTTTTCCTTCCGCCTTTAATATCTCTCTTAATATATATGGGCATATGGGTTAATCTTCACCCTCCACTTCAGTTGTTCCTTGATTTTTTAGCCGATCTTGCTCTCTTTTGATGGCGGCGGCCATGAAAAAATCCGCTGCTAAAGCACCTTAGACTAAAAGTTGTTGCTTTACGAAGCTCAACCCCTAACCCTAGAGGCCCACCGGCTCGGCGCCTCGGCGTCTCGGCGCTCGGACTGATTAAATTCAGTTTTTTACTATGTATTGATGATTTCCATGAGTTGAAGCTACTAATTTGAAAACCATTATATTCTCGTTGAATTGCTAATAATGGTTAAGCGAAAAAGAGGGAGAACAGTTGGTTGTGCTTCCGTGAGGTGTGACGCTTGCAGGCGGAAGAAGTTGAGGGCAAGACAAAAGGGGTAAGGATGGTTTCATAAAAAATTTGCTTTCAGGACGCAACGTTTCTATTTTCATCCCCAATCAACTAGATTTTTATTACATTTTTTATTATGCTTTTGCTATGTTTATCAAAACACTTTTTTAAACATTAAAATCTCTTTTTTAAAATGGTACGGAGAAAGTATTCTTTTAAAAAACAACCAACTATTGTAGCCTGTAGGCCATTTGAACAATCATTGCGAAGTATTCAGCTCATAAGTTAATTGCAGAATTCTTTTTTAATATACTCCGTATTAAAAAATAATATATATAATCTGTAGGTTAATCTCATTTTCACACTCATGTTTAGGTTGATACCATTTTCTATTCTATCACGCCAGATATTTTTTGATAAATAACATCTTTGGTATTTGTTAATCTAGAATGTGGAAACTAATACCAATGGATTTATTATTTGAACTAACGGTTATGGTTTTGAAATAATCTTCAGGTTGGTTAACCGATAACCGTAAGTTCAAATAATTTATCTTTTCGTATTATTGATCCTAGCATAGTATTTCATTGAGAATGTGGAAAAGTTACTGCTATGGAAGTTATTTCGTTAATTATTTTATACGAACCATACTAGAACCGATTACATACTCCTAATTACAGGGGGCAGCAATTGCTAATAATGGTTAACCGAAAAAGAGGGAGAACAGTTGGCTATGCTACCGTGAGGTGTGACACTTGCTGACGGAAGAAGTTGATGGCAAGACAAAAGGGGTAAGGATGGTTTCATCAAAACTTTGCTTTCAGGACGCAACGTTTCTATTTTCACCCCCAATCAACTACATTTTTATTATATTTTTTATTATGCTTTTGTTATACGTGAACTTCTCTGATTTGTGCAAATACGTGTGTTTATGTACTGTTGATATTCATTTTAAGGTATGTAACACCTGACATTTCTGATTTGTGCAAATACGTGTGTTTATGTACTGTTGATATTCATTTTAAGGTATGAGTTGGACTTGGGGTACACACTTTTGGTGTACACACTTTTTACACATGTCTGTGTAAGGTTTTTTTTATGTCTGTACAGACATAACGTATCGTTATGTCTGTACAGACATAAAAAAAACCTTACACAGACATGTGTAAAAAGTGTATACACCAAAAAATGTGTACCTTTAGAATTTTTGTTAAGGTATGTAACACCTGAGAATGAAATCTCATAGCTTATTTTTGTGCATTAGTCAATATCCTCCTTAGGTAATACCTTACAGTTAAATTAGCTTTTTATTAATTGAATCAATTTTCTGTAATCCCTTCCTTAGTCAACCGATTTTCGGATGTAGTTGGGGTGAGTTTAGGAATTAGGACCACTTAAGGTTTTCAAATTCTTGGGGTATTGACTGAGATATTTTATGTTTTTTAAAATCTATGGTATTCAAATTCAGCATTTAAATTTTGTTTCTCCCTTTCGCAGATACATGGACTACACATCAAAAGAAATCATTAAAAAAAAGTAAGGACACTGTGAAGTAATGATTTTTCAGAGTTTTGTTTACAATTAATGATGGAAGTGAGATCCCTAGTCGTGAAGAAAATTAACAGTATGCAACCTGGATGGTGCTTTGTAGTGGTGAAGGTGTCCAAATTACTTTACTAATTGTAGGACTGTAGATATATTATTGGTTGGAGTGTTTTTTATTTGTTTTTTAGTTTTAAACGTTAATCTTTGAATATTTGCTGCAAACGTAACTCTATCCCTTAAAAATGACAAAAAAAATGCAGGGGTACTCACATATATGGTAAGCATAGACATGACGTGAATACAACTTTTGTGTACATATGTACAATTTTGTTCGGGGTTAGTCGATACAAAAAAAGAAATTATATTAAATGGGACTAAAACATGGTTAAAACTCCAAATAAGGACTTCAAGTTTTAAATTGCCTAAATGGGACTCCACATTACACTTTTGCCCTTCTGCTATTAAAACTCATCTCTCGCCTCCTTCTGCAATTCGTCACTGGCCACGCACATCGGCAGCACATAGATTGCCCCTATCTGCAATCTACGATAAATTCATCGTAGCAGCAGTTCCGCACATCCCTTGACAGTAGCTCCTCCATCGGCTATGGCCACGCACCGCAACTACACCGTCGACCACAGGTATCCTTCTTCCTCTTCTTCCTCTTCTTCTTCTTCTTCTTCTTCTTTTTCTTCTTCTTCTTCTTTTGTATATGAACTTCCCATCCTCTTCAAATTTGGGTCCTCTGTTTTCTTCTTCTTTAGATTTTCAGAAAATGACACTTTTTGAATAAGAGAATGTCATTGTTGTGTCATTATTGATCATTTTTAAAAAATGTCACTTTTATGTCATTACAGTATTTGAAAATGTCATATTGAGAATGTCATGTATCTATACGAAATTGTCATTATTGTGTCATTATGCATATGTTAAGTGTCATTCTCGCATATGAAGTGTCATTCCTCATGGAAGTCTACACAGACTCAATGCAGAGTAGATTTTTGTTGGAGAATGATGACAACATACTTGTTGAGGTGTGAAAGTGGTGGCAGACTTGATGGATGGTGGCATAGCCGCCATTAGTGGAGGCGCCGATCTTGGAGGCCTGGAAACGCACAGGGCACACCATTTGCGCAGCAGGGGAATCACATATGCGCATCAAAGGCCCTTGCGAACTCTTCATTAAGGGCATTTTTGTCCAATTAGCTCTTTTTAGTCTTATTTTTGTCCAATAAAACATAGTAGTCCTGTTTTTGCAATTCTAACTTCTTTTAGTCCTATTTAGGCAAATCTCTCATACAAAAATAATAGAGATAAGTTCTAATTTGTTAAATCGTTACTCGGTATCAACCTGGTCAAGGGTTGAGTAGCGATAATCGTAACCGTAAGTTCAAATAATTTATCCTTTCGTATTATTGATCCTAGCATAGTATTTCATTGAGAATGTGGTAAAGTTACTGCTATGAAAGTTATTTCGTTAATTATTTTATACGAACCATGCTAGAACCGGTTACATACTCCTAATTACAGGGGCAACTAGTCATGGACTCGGGCCGGGTCGGGCCGCCGGTTTGTATCATATGGGCTCGGGACCGGCCCGAGGGTTGGATGGGTCCGGTTCGGGCCGGGCCACCCGCCCGGGTCACGGGTCGGGCCACCCGCCGGGCCGGGCCGGGCCGGTTAAAGATTTTTTTTTTGGGTTTTTATAATTTATATTTTATACTTTATAGTTTTATACAAGTATTAAAAACAAACATCAAGTGCATTTATTTGAAATGAAATAGGAACTACATTTGAAAATTAAATAGGAACTACAATTGAAAATTGAAGGTAAAATTAAAACATGAAATACTAATCAATCATTCAATCGGAATCTCCGGCATAGGTAGAGCCACCCTCGGTTGTAAATT